AAGAGCGGAGGGAAGCATGAGGCCACTTCCATCTGGGTCTGTAAATATGAGTCCAGGAGGCATACAGAGCGTCTCCTCTCAGATTCCATTTACCACAGCTCAGCAACAAGACTGCATGAGACAGGGGCATGCGATCTAGTTAGCAGGCCATGTCATTGACCTTTCTATTGCAATGGGAGAAGGAGGAGGGCCCGTTCTGATGGACAGCTGACAGTCTCCATCACAAATATGGACCATCAGTGACTTGGAAGAGGAGGAGAAAGAAGGACTTTACCCAGGCAGAAAGAACAATAAGAATCACCCGGCTGTTAAATCTCATCAGGTCTCTTGTATGTGATAAACAAAACTTATTCTAGATGTTTTCTAAAATTGTTCCCAGCTTTCAGGTTTCTGTGCTTCTGGGAGCTAGCATTCAACGGGCATTGTGTTCAGCCAGAGCAATGCATTTACGTTGAAAATGGTGCAAGATAGCGTTTACATTGCATGGGTAGATTGGGGTCTTGAGTAGTCACTACATTGCACTGGAAATTTTTAAAATATCAAGTGACAGATGCTGAACATAGCATATACTTTGCCAGGTGCTATGGAGGACACGAGGAAGTTAATGCAATATTTTTGGATAATAGATTTCGTACTACTTGTGGGGAGCTGAGTTGGATAAAAAAAAAAAAAAAAGAGGAGATTGAAAATGAAGGATGGGATATGTTCCCAGGGTTCCAGACGTCACAGCACGGCATGGGAGACAGAGGTGAATATGAAATTACCCTCGAATGTCATCTACAGGATTTTTATGAAGAAGCCAGTCTCTAGCATGAGCTTGTTTCCCTGTGATTTGTCTCCTACAATTGAAAATATTAAATTTAATTATCTTGGGGTTAACTATAGTTTTACTGCAAGTAAAAGTGCATAACTCCGTCTCTATTTTATAGACTGATTAATTTAAAATTCTTTATGTGGTAGAATTGGACCTTGAGGGAATTAAGACATTCCACACAATTTACCTATTTCTTTGAAAATACATTATCAGGTGTTATAATCACGTAAAAATTCTGTCAAATGTAGTATTCAATGTAGCTACTGGAAATTCTTAGTGAGATATACCTATAATACTCAGGATTCTTATCTTTCAATATAATGGCTTTATCCTAACTTTATTTTTCCTTAGTTTTAGATTTTAAAAATTTTGTGTTTTTAAAGAAGTTATGATCCTGAAGGTTTTACAGAGAGAGCATCTCCAGCCATTTTCATGTTTAGTTTTGGCCTCTGGATCATGTCTTGATATAAGCTCACTGCAATTATTTTTGTTTTGTCTTGAATATCTGCCTTAACTTAGCTTTCTTGTGTAACGTACAACCTGGGACTAGGAGTTGAGGCACCTGCATTTCAGTTGGGTTTGTCACTTACTGCTGGGTGTGTCCTTGACTCTGATGGGGCCTCAGTTTCACTTGCCTGACAAAGGAGAGGGTTGAACTAAGAGACAGCGCAGGCCGCACTCTCTGCAATCTTACTCTTCCACGTGTGATCACTTCTTCCATTCGGTTAACTGTTTTCGTTTAATTTTTTGTTTCTACTTTTAATTTTTCAAAAATTTTTGTTAATCCTCACCTGAGGATATTTTATTCCATTGATTTTTAGAGATAATGGAAGGGATGGAGGAAGGGGAGGAAGAGGGAGAGAGAAACATTGATGTGAGAGAGACACATCAATTGGTTGCCCCCTGAACCTACCTTGACCAGGAGAGCCAGAGATCTAACCTGCAACCCAGGTACTTGCCCTGGTCTGGGAATCAAACCCACAATTCTTTGGCTCTAACCAGTTAGCTACCGGCCAGGGTTAATTTTTGTTTTTAAAAGTGTCCATTCCTTTAACTTTTTTTAAAAAACAATGTATTGTCAGAAGTCCATTTGAATCACATACCCTAGGGTGCTTATTTACTATGAAGATTCTTAATTCCTATAACACTTTCACTATCAGACTTTCTAGGGAAGTTCTTTTTAATGTTTATGCAAGTCTCACGAGGATTTTGTTAAAATAAAAACTCCAATTCAGTGTCTGGGCTGGGACCTGAGAGTCTACATTTGTCACAAGCTTACAGCTCATACTGCTGATCTCCCCACCACACTTGGCAAAGCCATGATGGCAGGTCCAACCCAGCAGAACCTCATCTTTAATGCAGACAATTTAGCTCCATATGAAATGTTTAAAATGTAGCAAGCGTGCCTAAATGTAGCATGCAGCATCTGGGTCATATAAAGTAAAGAAGAAAAGTGTTTTACAATAAAGATGAAGGACTTGAATGCCAGCTATATCAAGTGCTCTTAGGAGTGGCCCTATCAGAGAGCCACACTCCTTGCTGCTGTTACTTCAGATCATGAGAATGGTTGAAATGCCAAGTACCACGAAGTAAGGAAGTGCTTCTTTACTGACTGCAGCCGGCCTGCTGTCCACAGGACCGTTCTCTCATTTCCCTTCTACAGGTTTGACAGTGTGCGTGGCTGGTGTGATCACATTGGACTCGGTAATGGGAACATGGCCTCTTTCTCCTTCTGTGTGGTGATGAGTAGAGAGACTGTTTCTGCTGAGGGGTGCAAAGGTCTTCAAAAGTTGTTTGCTCTCTAGTAAAGCAGGTCTGAAGAGCCTCTGAGAAGATGCCTGGCGTCACCCTGAGGATCAAATTTCTGTTCGTGTTGTTTTCCTAAGTTTTGAAAATTTTTTATTGAGGTATATTGATGTGTGACATTATATTCATTTATGTGTATAATCTATTAGTTTAACTTTTATTTTTAAAAGGTCTGTTCCTTTTAATTTAAACACTTTGTGATTGAGTGTAAAATTTGTCTTACATGAATATCCTTGAATATCCGTTTCTTCCACTGCAGTGCGCAAAGGCAAAAATGGTTTTGTAGAAATGTGTGCATTTGCATGTTGAAATGGAATCTGATTTATATCGTGCCAAGCGCCATTACTGACAATTATGTAGCCTTTGAAATAAAGTTATGACTTAAAAATACATGTGGCATATGTTCTACTCCAATTTAAAAGTATGCCTAGGGGAACTTTCTTTTTAAAAATCCTG